GCAACTGGGCTGGCATCCAGCCAGCTGCCCCTCCGCTTCCCCACCACCGCCCACTGCCCTCTGGGGGCTCCCTGGCTCACCAGTGCCCCCTCCCCATTGCCAGGGTTCTCACCTGTGACAGAGGAACCACCCCCCCGCTACCCCCCTACCCGTGGTCTGCACAGCTTTCTCTAGAATAGTCTTTGTAGTGGGAGGAACAACAACCTACCACCCAACTTGTAAAATCCACCAGGGAAGATGTGACTGAAATAGGAAGCGCCTTTTTAACTATAAAAATCACACTGAGGTACATTTTAGAAGTGTTTATTGGACCTTTGAGCGTTCGAGTTATGGAAGAACATGACCTGCCCTCCTGATGCAGCGGGCACTGTGTCCATCTGTCTCACAGCCTGAAGGTCTTAAGTTCTGGAAAAATCCAGGTCCCAGGACCACGTCAGCTGTGCAGCCAGGAGTCTTCAGAGAAACCCCAGACGGTTTCCTGCTCACGGTTCCCATCTTTGCTGATAAAGTCCCAGACATACTTGATCTGATCGTGAAGGAATATTTCTACTTGTTTATAACCAGTTTTTATCTATGCCTGATTGTCATATGCTAGGAAAATAGTAATGAGAATCATTTCAACTACAGGGTGGATTGATTTTGTTAAATGTATTACTCGATTATACAAATTTTGCTGCACACTCTAGGCTGGTGCTGTGTACCTTGCTGCCAGTGTTCTCTCCTTTTTCTTAGTTAGAAGAAATATCTGTTAGGTCCACTGTTTTCATCCTATCAGCAAAGCCAGTTTACCCACTGGGCCCTCTAAGCATAGCCCTTGCTTGTTTTCAGGACCTAAGAAAATGAGGGGTTAGGGCTGACAACTGCAAAATACGAAAAGAAACCGGCAGTAGCAAAATTAATATGTGTTTAATTAAACCTACATCAATTAGCCAAATGCGGCTTAGCATTTATAGCATAACACAAATGACAATGAAGTAAACATTTTACAAGACAGAAATTCAAAAGAATATTTTTGATATGATGTGAGTGGTGCCTCCAGAAGTAGGAGTGTCTTCTATGCACAAAACTCTTAGATTGGCTTTGCCCGTCCCTCACAATCAGTATCACCATCTGGATACAATGAAATAATTTAAACTTTCTTGGTAAGGAGAAAGGAGAAGGAGGTTAAAGAAGATGGAGACGGGTAGGAAAGGCGTGGTCCGAGGGAGATTGAACAGAGCCAAAGTGAATTCTGAAAGGGAGGGAGGGAGGCACACGTGTGCACTTGGCCACGGAGGAAACCAGAGGTCTTGGGCCAGTCCTTTCCCCGCGCTGGCCAGCAGGGGGCGGCTGGCCGAGGCCTGCCTGGTTGCTGAGTGTCCGGGAAGGAGACGCGAATTACGAGGCAGGTAGGCAGCCAGACTCACTGTGTGCTGGGCGTCCACAGTCAGGCTTCTGTTAACTCATGGGAGGCATGACTACCGTGCAGATTCTCAGGTGACTGTTAAGACTGGGTAGTTTTATAAGTCACCCAGCATTTGGGTCCCCCTGAGACGCCGGGACCAAGGTCAGAGGAATGAAGCAAGGATGGGGTGCAGACTGAGGCTGGCCCTGGTCAGGGGCACGGCGGCCCGCAAGTCAGCCACGGGTCCACCGGAGACGATGCTCGCAAGGGCCCAGACCTGCTGTCCAGCCTCACCGCCGGGCCAGGAGGACGGGCTGGGAAAGCAGGACCAGAAGCTCAGGAGGGAGTCTGAGCCGGGCCTCCTGCTACAGGGCTGCTGATCCCAGTCTAGCCTTTGGGAGACAGAAATTTCCATTCCGACTTCCTGCACTTGCAGACTTAAACAGCTGTGTCGGAGCCAGTTGAGGGAAGTTGCAAGTGACTCAGCTTCCTTTTTCACTTTTCCCACCTCTTGGGACTCTTCCACCAACTTGAGCACACAATCCCCACCGCTCATGAAAATCAGGGCCCAGGAAATATTTTAATACCAATCAAAGGAAGCCTCACTCTGATGAGCAAGTGGGTTAACTCTTCCAAGCATGAGCCCAGAGAGTCACCGATGCCTGTGGTCACAGGGACCTGAAGACCCAATACGCACAGTAGACGGCGCCCCTACTCTGGCCTGTCTGGCCCGGCGCGGGACCCTGACAAGAAGCCAGAGCCTGTCCTGAATGGACAAAAGGCCCAGAGAGACAAAGACATGCCCAAAGCCACACAGCAGGTAAGCAGAAAAGTACATCCTGGGAGCACAGGTCCAGGTGTCGGAACCAGAGTGTCCAGAGGCCACGTCTGCTCACTCCCCAGCTGCCTGTAGGTGGCAGGCAGAACGCTGAGGCCCCAGGGTCGCTGGTCTGGACTGCACACACCTGTTCCCAGTTGTTCAATCAGGCGCTAATGTCTCTGCAGGTGTCGTTAGGGGCCCAGATCAGTTCCCCTTGAAATCAGGAGATCACCTGACTTCAGGAAGGGCGGGCCTTCCCTAATCACGGGAGCCCTCTAAGGAGGGAATTTTCTCCAGCTGGTGGCAGAAGCCTCCAGAATTTCAACCCAGTGGAGACCGTCTGCAGGCGGCCGTGCTGGGGGCCTCGTGGCGGGGTTGGCAGGCATCTCAGAGCCCAGAATGGCCTCCGGCCAATAGGGACCCCAGAACCAGCACTGCGGGGAACTGGGTGCTGATGACCTCCTGGGCCCCCGAGGGCCCTGAGCTGCGGATGGAGTGGCCGGGATGGTCAGCTGTGGATGGAGCGGCCGGGCAGAGGGCCTGCTGTGCCCCGCTCGATGCCATGAGCGTGTCACGGAGGCCACCCCTCTGGGCTGGGGGCAACGCGTCACACGCTCTGCAGCAGAAGAGTGCATACTGCCTCCCCTTGGGTCTGGGGTCAGTCCCTCGGGCCTGAGGCGAGGACTTTGTTAATGTGTAATTACAATGCACTCTTAAATATTTAGTGTGCTTACTGACGTGTCACACGATTTACAGGATCGTTTCAGGTGGTCAGCGACATGTTTTCTGTAGTAGCTGCACTGAGTTACACTCCCGTCGCAGTGTACGAGCGTTCCCTTTTCTCCACGGCCTCTCCAGCATTTATCATTTGTGGGCTTTCTGATGATGCCATTCTGGCTGGTGAGTGGTACCGCTTGCATTTTTCTAATAATTAGTGATGTTATGCATCTTGTCATGTGCCTGTTGGCCATCTGTATGTCTTCTTCGGAGAAATGTCTGTTCGGGTTTTCTGCCCATTTTTTGAGTTGCATTTTTTGTCGTTTGTATTTTTGATGTTGAGCTATAAGAGAGATTATCTATTTTGGAAATTAACCCCCTGTTGATTACATTGTTTGCATCTGCTTTCTTCCGGTCTGTAGAGTGTCTTTTCATTTTGTTTATGGTTTCCTTTGCTGTGAAAAAGCTTTTAAGTTTGATCAGGTCCCATTTGTTGGTTTTGCTTCTATTTCTATTGCCTTGGGAGACCTGAGAAAATACTTCTACGATTTACGTCAGTGTTTCGCCTATGTTCTAGGAGTTTTATGGTATCACGTCCTACATTTGAGCCTTTAAGCCATTTCGCGTTTACTTAGTGAATGATATGAGGGTTTGTGCTGACTTCATTGATTTACACGCAGTTGCCCAGCTTTCCCACTTGCTGAAGAGACTGTCTTTTCTCCGTCGTATATTCTTTCCTCTTTTGTCGGAGGTTAACTGTAGGAGGTTGGATTTATTTCTGGGCCTGCAACAAGGATTTGAGTGGAAGTTTGTTGGGGGCTGATCCCAGGAAGCGGGGCCTGAGCGGGGAAGGAAGGCAGTTGAGTTCCGCCCGGGGTCTGAGAGCTCCTCACCTGGGCTGCCCCCGCCTGGAGTCGGGGAAAGTGGCTCAGTCGTGTCTGACTCTTGGGGACCACATGGACTTCTCCATGGAATTCTCCAGACCAGAATACTAAAGTGGGTAGCCTTTCCCTTCTCCAAGGGATCTTCCTGACCTAGGGATCGAACCCAGGTCTCGCACATTGCAGGTGGATTCTTTACCAGCTGGGCTATGAGGGAAGCCCGAGTCGGGGAAGCTGGGTTCCTTAGTCTCCAGCGCGTCCTTGACTGGTCCTCCTTCCGGAGGAGGCATGTGAGGGGGCCTGAAGGGATGGTGTCAGCTGCAGGGATGCTCGTTAGGACTCTCCCCCCATCGGGGGACACAGGCGCTGGAGCCTGGGGTCCTGGTCCGGCCGCTAAGTTGGAGGCTCTGCTCCTCATGCCCGTCAGACCCTTGCTGTTTTCACACTGCCCAGGTGTCTCCCCACTGGACAAACACCTCTACGCTCTTCCTGGACCCACGACCCAGGATGCTGGGTCCTTTACAGTTTGGGTGCAGGGAACCTGGGTCGATGATTCTGGTTGAGAGCTGTAATGAGCGTGGCTCCAACCGCACCAGCTTCTCGGCGGCCGTCTCACTCTGCTGACTCACGTGAGGCTATCTTTGTGGAGAGGCACCACGCCCTTCCTGCCCCGCTGCCCGTAGCGCCGGGACTGCAGGGGAAGGCGTTTCATTACTGGCCGAGCCCGGACCTGGTTCTGAAGGAAGGGCCCCGTGTTCACAGCCAGCTTGCTCAGCCCTTTGTTCAGTGTTTAAAACCCTTAAATCAGCTGCAAGCAGACAGCAGGGCGGAGGCGCCCGTGGTCAGAGGGCCGGCTCAGCTTCTGCTCACAACCTGCGCCTTTGGCCTCGGCTCCTTGAAGGGCTTGCCTGTGTCACGGGTCCTCTGAAATGACCGGTGGCCTGTGAGCTGCTGCTGGAAGCTTCCCTTCGCTCTTTGTTCTGCTCTGTAGGGGGAGGGCTGCGGCAGCCTCTGCAGGCTGGCCCTGGCCTTTGAGCTGCGTGGACAGGGGCCAGAGGGCTGACAGCCCATGGACCAGGGACAGTGAGGCCGGGACTCGGGGCCTCTGTGGACACACAGCCTCCCCCAGGCACTCAGCAGAGATCCCCACGGGGTCAGGAGGAAGGGGACCCATTGAGCCAGGGCCCACGCAGCACCCCTACATACCAAACACGAAGTTGTCAGGCCTGAAGATCTGGCCGAAGGGTCCAGACCTGACAGAGTCCATGGTGCCCGGCTCCAGGTCCACGAGGATGGCCCGAGGCACATACTTGTTACCTGCGGGGACAGAGCAGGACTCAGACCTGCAGGCAGAGCAATCAGACAACGCCCTGCTCTCTGCGCCTCTCTGGGCAGAGCTCATCCCAGAAAATTCAAGCAAGAGGCAAAGAGGAGATCAGAGGAGGTTTCTGCTCTACAAAGGGAGGTGAGGGCCCGCCTGGTTATGACCCGCATGCAGGGGACTTCAGGGGCTCTGAGGGTATTTCTCAGCAGCTGACATTTAAATGCATGCAGGAAGCCTGCCTTTGTCGTGTGTGTGTGTTCCTGCTACACTGGGGCTGCCAGAGAGCGGAACACAAGGAGAGGGGGCTGAGCTCGCGGGGTCCTCACCAGCAGCCTCGTTGTAGTACACATTGATTCTCTCCAGCTGCAAGTCACTGTCGCCATGGTAACTGCCAGTGGGGTCGATGCCGTGCTCATCGCTGATGACTTCCCAAAACTGGAGATAGAGAAAGAAGCGCGTGATGGTCTGGCATCCTAGGTTTCAGTACGATGGCCCTTCCCTTCCTCTCCTGTCCTTGGAACAGCAGCACTGTGGTCAGACAGGCAGGGAGCCGCAGACAGGCCCTCAGCCGCCGCCCTGCTCCTCCAGCAGCTTCTGCAGAGGGGCTCGGGGATTCGCAGAGCATCAGCTTTGTCAGGGAGATGGACTGGGAAGTGGGGAGGGGCCCTGGAGGAGGAGGGGGGCACAGCTGCGGATGCTTCGGAGGCTGGGCCCCCAGGCAGGGCTGACCGTCAGCATCCCAGCAGATGGACAGTCATCTCTGGGGCAGTGGCCAGAGCTGGGACCCTGTTGTCAGATAAAGCACATTCATTCTTAGATATGGAGCAAGATTAATAAAAAAGACTATTACTGTAGGGAGAATGATCTCAGAAATCTGCAAGCATCCAAAATCACAGAGAATCGGCTGTTTTCTGATGGGAGGTGTGAACAGGGCCTGCAGGAGCTTTGTGGCCAGGGAGAGAGGCAGGGAGACCAAGCCGGTGTCAAATCAGCTGGCTGCAGCACGAAAGTGTTCTCTGCCGTCAGCAGATCAGCAGCCTGAACCGTCAAGGGTACAGTCTTCACCTGTGCACTTGTTTCAGCCTGTGGCCAGTGCAGGCGGAAGGCTGGCTGATTCCTGGTAAGACGTGGGCAGCTGCGAAGACCTGGCTGTTGCTCCTGCTGTTTCATACGGATCAGATCTGTGGTCAGACGCTCCGAGGGGCGAGCCACGGTCAGCGTGAGGTTGGCACGGGTCCGGCTGGTTTTCAGGGCTGGGTGCACTTCCGGTTTCTCGTCGGCCCTGTTGTCTGCCATCTGCGGAGCCCGTTCCTGAGCTGGTGTTGTTAGAGGGGTTTAGAGACTGCGGCTTTCATGAGAGGGGTGCTCAGGAGTGTTATTTTAACAAATACTCTAGGTTAACTAGGGAGGAAAACACAGGAAGGGGGCTGTTGAGAAGACTCTGGGATGTTGGGCCTGAGGGTATTTCAGTGGCAGAGACAGAGGGCAGTGGTGATGTGCTGATCTCTCTGTGTGCAGTATTTCGGGTGGCAGCACAGACATCGGTGAGAACGCATGCACGGTCGCCACTCCTGACCTCTGCTCCAGGGCCCCCGTGGTCAGCCGGGACCACATCCAGTGCCGGCCAAGCATGGAGAGCTGAGTCCCTGGCATTCTCTGGTGACGACGTGAACGTCTGTGGTGAGACTGTCCTCTGTGCTGCTCGCGTCCTGAAGCAGAGCGTGGGAGGTGTGGGCTTCTGGCACTCGGCTGAGCGGCTCCAGACACAGGTGTCTGTGAGAGCCCCCAGAGCCTTCAGTCTTGCTCGTAAAACCGTTTTATTTGGTGCTGCACCAGGGCTAACCGCGGCCTGGAAGCTCTTGGTCATGGCCTGTGGGATTTGGTTCCCTGACCAGGGACTGAACCTGGGACCCTGGGAGCATGGAGTCTTAGCTGCTGGGCCACCAGGCAAGTCCCCAAATCCCTTAGTCTCTTGCTCTGAGGCTTCTTGAGAACCTGCCAAGGAAGGAAGGTCAAAGCCTGTTCCTGTGGCCTGACTCTGCACTGCGGCTCGTAGCTGTAGCTTGCTCGAGTTCCGTAAAGTCGGCCACAGAGAGCTTTCGGGTCGTCTAGTGCCTGGAAACCAAAATCAGAGGTAACAGTGGTCCTGCTGAAAAAAGAAGGCCGTTTAAAAAAAAAAAAAAGAAGGCCGTTTGGCTAAAGATTAGACAGTGAAGTCGCTCAGTCGTGTCCGACTCTTTGTGACCCCATGGACTATAGCCCACCAGGCTCTTCTGTCCATGAGATTTCCCAGGCTACAATACCAGAGTGGGTTGCCATTTCCTTCTCCAGGAGACCTTCCTGACCCAGGGATCGAACCTGGGTCTTCGGCATTGTAGGCAGACGCTTTGCCGTCTGAACCACCAGGGAAGCCAAAGATTAGATAAGCGCCAATGAAGAAGCCGACTTGAGTGACCCTCCGTTCCAAGTGCAGGCGTGGTCTTCCCTGTGTTGGCCACGCCCTGCGGGAGGGGAGTCTTGTAGACCCCAGAGGGCTATCGCCCAAACCTGGCACCGCATCCCAGATCCTAGGGTGTCTGAGTTTCCTGCCCCAACTGCTCCAGGCCCGCATCTAGCCTCTCCCCCAGGGGTCTCCCTGAGGGCAGGTGATGAACCTAGTGTGAAAGCAGGCCTGCAGCGTGTGGTGAGGGGGGGACGGGCTCGGGTGGGTGGGCAGGGCCATCCTCAAATGTGACCAAGAAACCCCGTGGGGCAGCCACGGAGACGGCGTCGGGCCACTCTCCAGGCTCAGCCCTTTGCGTGCTCCCCTGGCTGATTTCCGTCTGCGTCCTTCCCTGTAAACAAACAGAACTGTGGGTGTGACAGCATTCAGTCAGTTCTGCGAGGCCTCCCAGTGAACCATCCAGCCTAAGGGCCTTCTCGGGGACCACTGCCCTTGCAGCTGGTATCAGAAGTAAAACTAGTCCTGGAGACCGTTCCCTCTGACTTCACAGTTGGCCCAGATGCTTCACGGTTGGTGCCAGCAGTGGCATTTGCTCATGTGACCCTGACCCACGGAAAGGTAAGCGGGAGGGTGACAGGGTTGGGGGTGATGAACCTGGCGTTCCTAGGGGACCACAAGTCAGCTAAGGTGTGGAACTGGAGCCACGCTGCCGTTAGTTATTGGAGGTAAAATCACCAAGGGAATTGCGAAATGATGGCCCCAGCTCCTGAGGAGCCTGCTCCCTGGATGCCTAAGAAAATGCAGAGTAACAGGTGACTGTCTGTCCCTGGGTGGTCCCTGGGCGGTGGCTGTCTGTAATGACCGAAGTGAAAGCAGGTGTTAGGATGGAGCTTGAACTGAGCCAAGCCTGCATTCGGGCTGCTCTAAGCTGGCACAGGGCTGCCTCCGAGGGGGATAGTCAAGGCAAAGGCGCAGAAAGCCAAGACCCACGAGACTCCAGGGTAAGTTCAGTGGGGTTCAAATCTGGGAACAGTTGTTAGTGGATAAATAAAGCAGACACCAATGGGATCAGAATGAAGGTCTTCCTGCGGTGCTCTCTGAAGTCAGGGGGCCCACGGGAGCCCCTGCTGGTACCCCCTCCTTGAGGGTCTTCAGTCTGCTGGAGGTGGACTGGTTCTGGAGCACTTGAGGCGCCCCTGGGCCCTGCAGCTGCCTGGGTTTTGCTGCAGAAACCACTCTATTGACCAGGAGAGCAGCCCGGTTTGCGGCTGGCATACTGCCTGGAGAGCAGCCACCCTAATTGCAGGAGGTAGAAGGCAGTCAGCTCAATGGACTGGAATGCAAGCTATTTGCCTCTATGTTTGGGCTTTCAGTGACTCATAGGTCGTGGGCAATGGCCTGGCCCTAGGGTCAGACAGATGGGCAGTGAAGACTGGGCTGTTAAAGGGGTGCCCACGTGGGGCACAGCCCTGTGGAAGCCGGTCAGGGGATCTGAGAGGTGCATTGACGCAGGGCCCGTCTCTGCCATGAGAAGAACCCACTCTGGGATTGGGAGGGGCTGGAGTTGGCAAGTGGCCATCCTTGAGGTGGCCTCTGGGTCCATGGACTCAGTGGACGTGTGGGCACCACAGCCGCGCAGAGAAGGGCTGGCTTGAGACGTGTTTGTCTTGAGGCCAGTGGTACAGTCGGCTCGCAGACGGACCGAGGGAGCAGGTGGCCGGGGTGGCAGCTGCAGCGGGAGGCACTGCTCACAGCCAGCAGGTGCGGCCCGTCTGACTTTGAGTGCCAGCCATCTCTAGCGGGGTTTGTGGCTGGGGCTCTGGGCCACGAGGCGCCAGGAGCCATCTCCCTCTTCAGTTTAGGTACTCAGGTCGCTCAGTTGTGTCCGATGCTTTGCAACGCCGTGGACTGTAGCCCTCCAGCCTCCTTTGTCCACAGTATCCTCCAGGCAAGAATAGTGGAATGGGTTGCCATTCCCTTCTCTGAGGGATCTTCCCGATCCAGGGATCGACCCTGAGTCTCCTGCCAAGAGGTATCTCCTGCATTGCAGGTGGATTCTTTATCACTGAGGCATCGGGGAAGCCTTGTTCAGGGGACATGGTGAGTATTTACTCCTGAAGTTGAAATCACCAGTCTTCTCCTCGGCTCTCAGAGTGGGGAGCAGGACATGGGTGAGGACAGTGTGGGTCATCTCGGGAAGAATGCCCTCATAGAGTGATTATTTTGCCATCGTTTGCTATGTAAACCCCCCAAATTTGATTAAGACAAAGCATTTATTATTAAGCACAGATGCAAGGGCTGGGTGAATGCATTTTGTCTAGGACCAGCCTCTCTGAGGTTCCATGTCCCGGGCAGCTTCCCGAGGGCCGGTGGTGGGCAGGCGTGTCGGTCCAGTGAAGGATTCACCATCTGTCTGGCCGTTGGCTTGAAGTCACCCATCAGGTTAGTCACGCTCCTTCATGTGGTGGCCAGAGGTACCCCGCGGTGGAGAGGGCAGGCCCCAGCGCACAGGTGTCTCTTCACGTCCGTCACCTAAGCTGCTGCTCTCTCCGATCTGCATCCCAGTTATTCAGTGATGCCTGCTGAGTGGGCGCAGAAAGGAGGAGAAAATCCACACTGAGCTCCCCTGTGTCCTCCAGCCAGCCAAGGTGCCTACACACACACACACACACACACACACACACACGTGAGGCAGATCAGATCTCCTCCTTGGACACAAGAAAACTGCTGCAGAGGGGTTAAGAAGATAGCCTAGAATCACACAGCACCAGCAAAAAAAAAATCAGCTGCTGTATCTCCTGCTGCCTGACTGCACATTTCCTTGAGTTCCGCAGCCATGCTGTTTCCTAGGAAACCATCACACAGCCCACAGGACTGTCTGCATGGAAGCGGGGGGTGGTCCACCCAGGGTCCACTCTTTCCCTCTCTTCCTGCATGAGTGACCCTGCGGCCCTTTGTCAGGGCGTTAATGTGATGACCACAGAGTGCCCAGAGCCTGCTGCTGGGATTACATTTCCAGCAAGATGTCTGTGCTGGCCGCAGGGGCCGGGTTCACTGAGGCTCTCGCCGGTCAGAGCAGTGAGCTCGATCCTGTTTGTTCCCCTCCCTGTCTTTCTCTTTCCCGCAGGTTCTCTGCCTCCACGGCAGGCTCCCTTCAGGGTGCCCAGCCCGAGAACCCGTACTCTAGGAGCCTGTGCCCTTGACCCCAGGCCCTCTTCCCCACGGGCGGAGGCTCTGCAAAGCCCGTCCTGCCCTGAGCTTCTTGTGACCACGACAGGGTCCAGGGCCAGCGAGCGTCTGTGCTGTGGGGCCTGGCCACCCTGGGGCTCTGTCTTCATCATCATCTGCCCCATGGTGGTCCCTGCAGGTGGCTGCCGGGACCTCAGGAGTCTGAGCCCTGCCCTGACCCCGAGGCAGGCTTGGGGCGGAGGGCTTGGACGAGGGGCAGGAGCCAGAGCAGAGCCTCCTCCCCACCTGCAATGGTCTGATCTCGCTGCCTCCAGAGCATCTTCTGCGCTTTTCTGAGAAGCTGAAGTGCATTTGCTGTTACGAGCACCTCTCTTCTGACATAAATTTTAATGAAAGGCAAGCTCCCGCGCCTTGCTGCTGGGAGCCATTTTTCTTGGCAGGCTCTTGGGCAGGAATGAGTCGGAATGCCTGGGTCCAGTCCCGTGATGCTCGATCGAAATCTTCACCAGCCATTGGAAACACCCACAGCCGCTGCTGGGCCCCGGGCGGGACAGGAAGACGTCAGCCTGGCCCTGGGCGGTCCACAAGCTCAGGGCCATGGCCTCTGTGAGAAGATGTCCGCATCAGGGGTCTCAGCTGCTAGGAGAAGGTGCCTGGTGCTTCTCTGCACCGTGTCATCCCCGAGTCAGGCTTTTCGCCCTGGATAGTAGGGGGCAGAGTGGGGGCAGGGCTCGGTGCCCAGCAGCCAAGCTGGCACCAGGTTCAGCTGGCACACAGCCCCTGGGTGGTGCAGCGGGATGCTGGGGGGTCCTGTGCTTTAACGACACGCTTCCTGGGTGTGGAAGCAGCTTTGCGGCCCTGGGAGAAGGTGTCTTTGTCCTCAGAAGCTGTACTCTGACTCAGTATTGTGACATCCATGGTCCGTGTTCAAATAATTCAGCAAACACACACACACACACACACCAGGGCTACTAGGGCTGTTGAAATTTGAGGAAGACATGCTGTATGCTATTCTTTCAACTTGTAGGTTTCAAGTTTTATTTTATAAATAAGTTACTTTAAGGACCAATGATTAATTCTGGGGCTTCCCTGGTAGCTCAGTGATAAAGAATCTGCCTGCAATTCAGGAAGTCCCTCTTGCACAGGAGACGCGGGTTTGCTCCCTGGGTCAGGAAGATCCCTGGAGAACGGAATGGCCACCCACTCCAGTATTCTTGCCTGCAAAATCCCAGGGACAGAGGAGCCTGGCAGGCTACAATCCGTGGGGGAGCAAAAGAGTTGGACAGGACTGAGCAGCTAAACAACAGTGAAACATGAAACAGATTTCCTTGTAACGGGCCTCGAGGGACACCCTTGGAGAAGCGGTGATCTCTTACTGTTTTGCTGACTTCCTCCTCATTAAGGAGAAGAGTCCAGACAGGACGGACTCTGGTGAGAATGCTGCCTTCAAACCCAGCTGTGAGAGATGTGGCTCTCAGAGCCGGCTGGGGAGCTCTATTTTTATCTTGCACTTTCTTGTCCTCACATTTTCAATGCTTAATTGTTTTCTTCTTTCAAAAGAGCATTTGTGTCCTGCGGCAGGCAGAGTGGGGAGTGGTGTCTAGAGACGGAGCCCCGGGAGTGGACGGCGAGTCTTCTGGTCCTCCTCGTGGTTCTGCTTGTATCGCCTCGAGGAAACAACTCCATCAGCCGAAACACAGGCAGAACTGCCACGCAGCTGGCCCCTTGCACGTAGTTCGTGAACCATTTTAAAAAGCAAGTTTTCTCTATTTTGATATTCATGCAGAGATGAGTGCCTGGCTCAGACGGGTAAATGCACAATGGATCTGCCTCTCCTCCTGGACTGTGAGGTTCTTTAGGGCAGGACTGTGTCTGTGTTATTAATGTGTGGACCCCACTGCCCAGCACCTAAATATTCACCGATAAATAAACGAATAAAGAAATGAAAAAAGGAGAAAGAGATATGATGATATCTGAATTCTACAACAGCCAAGGATTATGCAAATCCGTAATACCTTTGTTTTCCTGATTTATCATGTTTGTAGCAGATGGATGTGCCGTGCTCACAGGGGAGGAGCTTAGGTAATGATACAGCACTATCAGTATGTAAGTCTGTGTTGTTGAGGAAGGATCAGATACTCAAAAAAGAGGAGGCCGCTCTTGCTTTAGCGTGGTGAGATTTGAGGCAGCCTTCTTTATCCCGTGTTCCATCTTGTTTTTAATAAAAGTGACTATAAATGCTGATGATGCCTGCAGGCGTGCAAACTGAAGCTGTTTAACATAGAAAAGAAATAGCATGTGGAGAACCACGAGCCTTGGCCCGTGTGGCATCTAGATCCTAAGATGTGCCTGTTGACCTTATAAGAATATCGGAGAGAGGAGAGGCCGGAAGTAGAGAGTCTGAGCACACTCAGCCTGACGTCTGGCCTTGGCTCCAGCAGCCGCTGATGGGATGAGCAGGAAGGTGTGTGCGTGAGAGCAGAGTGCAGTGTCCATGTGAATAGCGCACACTCGTGAAAAGGCAGAAGGATGTGCATGGCAAACAGCACACGCGTGAAAAGCAGAAGGGCAGCTTGAACGAGAGGCGTTCATGCCTTAGGTGGATCTCTTTGGTGCTGGACAAACTAAATCTCAATTGAAGGGTAAAAACAGTGGCACCCACTTCTGGGCCATGGGTTCCTCTTCAGACCCTATAGTATCCTATTTCATGAACGTTAATTGCACATAATTCAAAAGCACTGTGGTGGATTTGAAAATAATGCTCCCAGTAACATACGAATGATATTTATCCTCAGTGATAATTAGGAAATATAAGTAAAATGATCATGATACATCATTTTTCTTCAGGGTGGCAAAATTTTTGAATTTGTCCATTGTTAGAGAAGATTAATTTTTAGCACATAAATTTAAAATGTACAATTATTAAAAATTTTAAAAATGTCCAAAGGTTTCTAAACTCAACCTTAAATTCTATCTCAAGAGCCCCCTGTTCTGTTGGCTGGAACAACCACCTCAACTTAGTCAGTGTGGGTTCATCTTTGTCAATTCAGAAGACCATCTGTCAACTCGGGGTTTCACCCTCCCCTCTCCTCCCCGAGGCTGGTTCTGTTAGAGGTGGTGAATGTGATACCAGAGCTTCCCAGAGCGGGGCTCTTAGCGCTTCACCATCATCCACCGGAGCTCACACCTCTCGGTACCCACGTCCAGAGAGGGGCTCTCACCCACCCCCCTTCACCGTCATCCACCGAAGCTCACACCTCTTGGTACCCACATCCCCTGTTGTCTCCCAGGAGAGAGTTGGTGCTGACTTATCCTGCCTGGTCCCGCTGTGATAGTTACCTGTGTGTGCACTGTATGGGTCCCCTTGTCTGGACCGTGGCATGCCCAGATCGCTGGTTAGACGTGATGCCAGGAGGGTCTGTAATTGAGATCCTGGGTAAGGTCGGCACTTGAATCAGCAAACCCAGTGAAGTGGGTTGCTTTTCCCAGTGTGCTGGGCATCCCCGGATGCACTGAGGTCCGAGTAGAACAGAAAGACGGAGGAAGGAGAACCTGCTATCTCTGCCCGACTGCTTGAGCTGGGACCTGTCTTCCGCCCTCAACCTGGGACTTGCATCATCGTCTCTCCAGATTCTCAAGCTTGGGGCTCAGACTGCAGCCACCTCAGCAGCTCCCCTGCTCCCGGAGCTTGAGGATGGAGGGTGGTGGGGCTTCCCCAGCTCCCAATTCCTGGTGACAAATCTCCTTATTGGTTCTGTTTCTCTGGAGGACGCCCACTAATACACCTGTTGTCTAAACAATGTCTCTTCAGTTCTCCTGGGCCTCTCCCCACTGACCCTGCCCTTCCCAGGGCAAACATGGGCGCTTCCCGAAGCTCTCTCGCAAGGCTCTGGGGCCCAGCGAGGCTGCTGGGGACTCTCAGGGGCTCTCAGGTCTGGACATGAGTCTGCTATTTCTCCTCTGCTGATGGCATGTAAGCTGGTGGACGGAATATGGTCAATCCGCAACTTCCCAAGGCCCAAGACAGAAGCTGGTATTGACTTCTGACTTGAGAAGACACCCAGGAGTTCATCAGCTAAGATGCTTTTGGCTGCAAGAAACAAACGCGAACTGAAAGTAGCTTTCCTGTTAAGAGCCTTATTACCTTGTAGGACAAGAATATTGGAGCAGAGGTTCTCCAAGTGTGGTCTAGTGAGTCCCGGGGGTCCCTGAAACCCCTTCAGGGCATCTGCATGGTCAAAATCATTCATTCCAAGTGCAAGACAGTTCAGCAGGATTGTAATGTAATGGAGCAGAAGTCATCAGTTACTTACAAAAAGTTTATTACAAAAAAGGTTCTGTCAATTTTTGACAGGCACCCAGCCACACTTGTTTATGTCTTTTGCTGCTTCTGTGACACCCTGGCAGAGCTGAGCACTTGTGACAGAAACTGCACGGCCCGCAAAGGGGAAAACATCTATCTGGCCCTTGGTGCTGTGCTAAGTAATTCCAGTCGTGTCTGACTCTATGACCCTGTGGACCGAACCACCTCCCCGCCCCCCAGGCTCCTCTGTCCATGGGGTTTCCCAGGCAAGAATACCGGAGTGGGTTGCCGTTTCCTCCTCGAGGGGATCTTCCCGACCCAAGAATCAAACCTGCACCTGTCTCCTGCATTGGCAGGCAGGTTCTTTACCACTAGCACCACCTGGGAAGCCCATCTGGCCCTTTAATAGAGCATAAAACATTTTTGGAGATAATCTTAGATTCTACATCAGAAATAACCTTTGAAGAACTACCAACTATTAAGTTTTTGGTGTACTGTCAAAGAAAAATATCCCGTTATCTGAACAGGAGGATGTGAAGGGAGGATTTCAAGAAAAGTGTGAGAAAATAAAATATTTTCCAAAACCCTTTTCCCATAGAAAAAATGGATTTTTCTTTCTTTCTTTTCTTTTTTTTTTTTTTTTTAGCAATTTAATGGCAAAAGTGAAATGGTTACAAAGCTGCCAAATGAGGAAGGATCAGCTGCTCCAGACAGGAGATGAAGCAAGACAGAACTTGTTTCAGAAGCCCCGGAGCATCTGAACTGCCTTTTCACTCACCAGCCCGAAGCTGAGGGCTTCCAGGAAGAAGTGGATCTGAGGTCCTGGCCAGCCGCCTCCGTGTGTGTGTGGGGCGAGGTCCCATCCCCACCTCTGCCTGCCCGGCGTCCTTGTCCCGACAGCTGGGCTGGGCAAGGTCACCTCCCTGGATGACGCCCGGGCCCCTGGAGCATTTCCAGTCCTCAGCCGTCTCTAGCCAGGGCAGGGCGGCCAGGGCGAAGGGCCTGGCAGCAGGGCACCTCCACGGGCATCTCCACAGGCAGGAGTCCCTGCCAGGTTCCGGAGAGGTCACGCCCAAACCTGGCTCAGCAAAAAGGCGTTGGTGGCCAATGACGTTTTCCCACACTCGGCACCCAGCCTCTTTCCGTGGAGCCCTTAGCATCTGTTCAGTGAATGAAGAAAGGAAAGAAAAGCATTATTTAAAAAAAATTTATATTAAATAGAACTTTTTTTTAAGGCTGTACCATGCAGTATGCAGGATCTTAGTTCCTTGAGCAGGGCTTGAACCGGTGTCCCCTGCATTGGGAGCACAGAGTCTTAACCACTGGATCGCCAAGGAAGTCCAGGAAAGCATCATTTCGAACAGGCTTCGTGGGCTGGCAGCAGACTACGAACCCTCCAGGCAGGGGTTTGTGGGAACGCGGCATGGGTGTCAGAGGCTCCACAGCCCCTTGTTTTTCCTTGTGTTTCATATGCTGATGCCTCAAGGAAAACCTTTACCCCGGGCCCTCAGGGGCTAGACCTCAAGCCCACCGACATGGCCCCGCGTGCCTGCCCCTCCCAGGCCAGCAGCTCAGCAGCACATCCCTGGGCGCCGGCTAGAAAGGTCAGACTTCCGGCCCCACCCCAGCTGGCCTGAGTCAGAGCCGGCCTCTCCTGAGGTCCCCGGGGTGGAGCAGGCGGGGTGAGGTCGGAGCACCCCGGTCCCTGTGCTGGGCTGTCAGGAGGACCTGGGAGGGAAGCCAGCAGCCTGAGACCCCGCTGCCTGGGGACAGAGTCGCGGCCACGTTACCCAGAATCTGGGGTTTTCTCTCCAGACCCCAGTCATTTCACAGGGTGTAGGCTCACACTTCGGGAGGGGGTCCGGAGGGTGTCCACAGCCCCCTCCTCAGTCTCCGAGGAGTCGCCAGCGCCTGCTCGCTGACCTGGGCGCTGCTGTGCCTCCCGAGGAGAGGGGGACGGGGGCTTCCCTCGAGGGGCACCATGTTCGGGAGGTGACGGTTCTCCCTGCCTCGGGTGTCGTCAACGACGACAGCCACGGGTAGTGCTACCGGGCGCTGCGGAGCCCAGGCGCTGTTCTGGGGCTGCAACTACAGGTGCCCTCGGCGTGGTGTGAGGCCTGTGCCCTCTCCAGGGGCAGCGGGGACAGCCGGCACTCCCAGCCCCTGCCCGCCCCTCCTCTGCTCGGCAGCCTCGCGCTGTGCCCGCTGCGGGTGGGCTCCCCCGGGGCAGTTGCGGGGCTGACTCGGGGCAGGCCTCGCTCACACCATCTTCCTCTGGACTCCCGGGCTCAGGACTCCCTTCCGAGCCCCCGGATCTGTAGGGAGACATCACAGATGGACCGAGGAGAGGCCACCTGTCCCCAGGGATGCCCACGCCTTCCACGTCTCTTTACAGTCTCTAACGTTAGCTTTGCACAGCTGAATGTTGGATTCTACTCAAGGAAACAAAAGTTCACTCTTCTGAACAGAAGCAAGGCACGCACGTGGTGCTGCACACGAGGCGGCTCCGGGTGGGGCCAAGCAGAAGGCAGCCTCTGCCCACGCCCCAGGCAGCACACACCACCCGCCGGCCTTTCAGGGGGGATGTCCAGGCAAAGGGGCACGATGGTGCAAACTGCCGGCAGGAGGAGTGTCACAGGGCAGGAATGCAAACAGCCCAGTGCAGCTCTTTCTGTGGAGGGACGGAAAACTGCAGTGGGGGTGTCTCCCCCGAAGAGAAGGAGCTAGAATTTGCAGCAGGCCCAGCTGTCCTGCCTCCTCCCAGGGACCTGTCAGGATTGCCAGCGGGGAGAGGAAAACAGATCAAGACAAAGGAAACCCAGCTGACGGGGATGGAGAGTGGCACCCAGCTCCATGAAGGGGGCGCGCTAATTACACAGCCGCCTTTTCCGTAATAACAGCGTGGCTGTTTGAAGAGCTATTGTTCAAAGCAGACCATCGTCCTCCTCCAAGAACGCTGGTTCTCATTAATACGTGAATCACAGCAGACCTTCCGGTCTGGGGGATGAGCATGCTGCTGTTCTGGGGAAGCTGGCCTGATTTCAAACCAGGGAGGCAGCGTGACCGTCTCCATGGCATCTCCCACAGCCTGGGCACTTGGCTGTGTTGCCGTTTGTCTCCACCCCGACTCCCAGCCCCACCCCGGCGCGGAAGCTCCTTGAAGGCTGGGGTGTGTTCGCTCCTGTTTGCGTTCTCAGCAGTGTCACGGACAGGGCAGGTGCCTGATGAATACTTTCTGACGTAAACAGATAGTGAGCTTGAAGCGTGAAGACTGAGACGTTTGAAGTGACTGGTTCCAGGATCCTTGGAAGGTAGGGGTGGTGGGACCACAGCCCTGAGTCTCCCTCAATCATCTTCTTCTCGCCCCCACCCCCACCCCCCAAAAAACAGGCCAAGAAACTAACCCTATCAAACTGAAAAGTTAAAACTCCCGCTCACATACTTCCTTGCGGGTCCAGTGGTCAAGTCTCTGAGCTCCCACTGAAGGGCCGCGGGTTCCATCCCTGGTTGGGAGCTAAGATCCCACATGCTACACCACGTGACCAAAACAAACAAAGCAAACCGAACTCCGTTTTGGAATCCAAAGTATGGAATACGGGATTGACGGCAGCAAAGGGACAAGAAGGTTGGGGTGAAAAGGGGGTAGGGAGATGGACTGAAGCAGACCTCAGCAAGTGAGCCGCTAAAAACCACTTTGGGAGAGCAATGTGGCGGGGAGCTACAGAGACATGCAGCTCCGAAAACTACCCGGGCCTTTCTGTTACTCCTAAGACTACAGGAAAAGTCGTTTTGCTTTAAAAAGAGCAACAGGAAAAGATCATGATCAAATCCCACACAGAATTACCCATAAAAGTAAGAACACAATAATGTCTCTGCAGATAAAGTATGGCAAAAAGACAACAGATCCAAATGGATGAAAACTGTAACCTAAAATTTCAAAATATCTGAAAAAATAAAAAAATCAAAATATAACAGACCTGAAAGAAAAATACATTAAAATTAGAAAAACTATAAAATGAGATTGTAAGGTGGGGGAGTGGTTTGTAAATAGATTGAAGGAGGAGACAGAACAGGCTCTATCTTGAAAGCAGGACTCCGTCTTGGACTGGCCTGTGGACTCTGAGCTCTGTGCCCAGGATCTATGGAAACGACACACCAACTGGAAGACCAGGCCCCCAGAAGGAAGGGCCCCAGGGCTTGTACCCAGACTCTCCATCGCCTAAAACAATAGCCTAATTATCTGTGTAACCGAATAGAATCATACATTCTATTATGCTTTTTGGGGTATGGCCACAGGCCTATTGATAATTGTCCACTGTTAACTACCTAGGCTTAAGGCATATGCATCACGGGTTAACTTTGATGGTATCTTTGTTTTTCCTTTGTTCAGACTAGTTTCAGGGAATTTGGAGAGGTGGGTTTGGGTACGTACACTTAAGGTATATAAGGCTTTCACAAAAACTGGTCAGGGTCCTTGGCTAAGAGGAGACTCTGCCTTGGGCCTGCCGGTGTAATAAACTGCACTCCCCTATCTGCATTGTCGTTCTGAGCGAGTAGTTTCCCGGAACACGTGGCTACAACAAGGTGAAAGAAGTAAGAAAAAGAGGTGAGAAGAAAGGAAAAGCATAAATGAAGTCCAAAGTAAAAGGAATACGAGAGCAAATACACAGGACAGGTACTGCTGTAGGTAATTAGTAGGTGGAAGGGCAAAAAAAACATTTTAATCAAAAGGAAATGAAGAGAGGAATTCTACTTTCAGCCAAGACGGGCCAATAAGAATTAGATTCACCCTCCTGAGTGAAACAAATAAAAAACTGAGTAAGATGCATGAAATAACGATTCTCAAGGTCCTGGCCACCAGGCGAAGAGTGACGCCGCTGAGGAAAGGGAAAGGAAGTTAGCACGTGATGCCCCAGCCAGTCACTGGGGAGCAGTTTCCAGGCCGCAGTGGCGCGGGGTGGGGGTGGAGCCCACACAGGGTTCGGGGGTCTCAGTGAGTCAGAGCAAGACGTCAGGACTCAGAGGCCCCAAGTCGGGCAGAGGGAGGGGCAGGGCCGACCACGAAAGAGGAAGGAGCGTCACGGAGCGTCCTCTCGGGTCCTTGGCTGAGAACCGTGTGCCCAGACAAGGTCGGAAACCGCTGCTCAGCACAGCGCTGTGAGACGACGACACTGCGGCCAAAGCCAAGGAGAAGGAGAGAATACTGCTCGAGAGCAGGAGAGGACTTCCCTGCTGGCCCAGCGCCTACGCCTCCTGCCAGGGCAGGGCCACGGCGCTGATCGCTGGTCTGGGGAGCTCCCACGTGCAGAGGGGCAGCTGAGCCCGCGCCCACATCTGCTGAGCCTGAGCTCTGGAGCCCGTGAGCTACCACTGCTGAAGGCCATGTACCCAGAGCCTCCGCTCTGCAGCAAGAGAGGCCACCGCGATGAGAAGCCCGCAAACCTCAACGGAGAGGAACCCCGCTGGCCACAACCAGAGAAAGCCCGTGCGCAGCGACGAAGACCCGGCACACCCAAAACAAGTAAATAGATAAATATTTTAAAAAGAATTGGGGGAAGCTACTGGAAAGCAGGCAACCAAACAAGCCCCAGAGCTCACCCAGGCCTGGGGATGACCCGTGTTCCTGTTAGACAGAACGGACGCACTCCTCATGCACAGGCGTGGCTGTGGTGTGGGCTCAGCGTGTCCGACTCTCTGCGACCCCATGGGCTGTAGCCCACCAGGCTGCTCTGTCCGTGGGATTTCCCAGGCAAGAGTACTGGAGTGGGTTGCCATGCCCTCCTCCCGGGACCTTCCCAACCCGGGGATGGAACCCAGCTCTCCTGCATTGGCAGGTGGGTTCTTGACCTTAGTGGGGTGAGATTATCCGTGGGTCAAAGACTAACTTTGGACTCACACTAGTAAAGCTGAGAAACACGTTTCAAAAGGTCCTTTTAGTTCTGAGTAATGTTAACTGTGGGCCAGAACAAGGTCCTATGGCTTTTAAAGGACTGTAACAAAATGGGTCCATTTCTGTCCTTCCAGTTCTGTTGTTTTTTTCTATTTCTTTGCATTGATGGCTGAGAAAGACTTTCTTATCTCTCCTTGCTATTCTTTCGAACTCTGCATTCAAATGGGAATGTCTTTCTCCTTTGCTTTTCGTGTCTCTTCTTTTCACAGCTATTTGTAGACCAGACCACCTGACCTGCCTCTTGAGAAACCTATATGCAGGTCAGGAAGCAACAGAGCTGGACATGCAACAACAGACCGGTTCCAAATAGGAAAAGGAGTACGTCAAGGCTGTATAGTGTCACCCTGCTTATTTAACTTACATGCAGAGTACATCATGAGAAATGCTGGGCTGGAAGAAGCACAAGCTGGAATCAAGATTGCTGGGAGAAATATCAATAACCTCAGATATGCAGATGACACCACCCTTATGGCAGAAAGTGAAGAGGAACTAAAGAACCTCTTTCTGAAAAGCTCAGGCTTTTCAGACTGAGCGACTGAACTGAACTGAACTGAACAAAATGGGGAGTCAGCAACATAAAACTTGCAATGTCTGGCAAAAGATACAAAAAAGGGTCTGCCCCGGTGGTCCAGTGGTTAGGACTTTGCCTTCCAGTGCTAAGGGTGTGGGTTCAATCCATGGTGAGGGAGCTATAAAGAATTTTTTTAGTGGTCCACATCAAAAAAAATAAAATCTTTAAAAAAAAAGGCACAAAGAAGTAGGAAAATATGATCCACAACCATTGTTACTGTTCAGTCGCTAAGTCATGTCCGACTCTTTGCGACCCTACGGTCTGCAGCATCCCAGACTTCCCTGTCCTTCACTGTCTCCCGGAGTTTATTCAAATTCATGTCCATGAAAAAGATCAGTTATAGCCATAGACCTGTAAATGACAAAAAGGATGAAATGTCAGACAAGGGTTGTAAAGTAGCTCATACATGATCTATGCATTCAAGAAACTAGAGGAAAGCATGAACATGAAAAGGAGAGAAAT